TTTGTAAAGAGCTTCTGTAAATGCTATCGTTCCTTCATCACCAAGTTTGTTACCAGAAATTTCTAAAGCGGATAACGCTGTATTTTTATAAAGTGCCTCTACAAGCAATTTAACTTCGTCAGGGCCAAGATTACAATCATGTAATTTTAATGAAGTTAGGCAAATATTTACACAAAGACCATCTGATAATGCTTTTATTTCTTCAAAACCAAGATTAACCTGAGAAAGATTTAAGGAAGCAATAGTAATGTTTTTATAAAGAATGTCTGCTAAAGTATTTACAAATTTGTCCTTATTGTCGATTCCATTTATATCCAAATGCCTAATGTTTTTGCTTGTTCGTAATAGCATTGCAATTAACGAATATAAAACTATTTTAACCGTCTTCTCTGATGTTAGATATTCTGCAAAAAATTCATAATTGTTTTTAGGCTCATATTCCCCACGGCAAAGCCAATTTATAATCCCTCTTCTTAACCTGTAGCAGTCGAATGATGTAGTATAAGACGTGTATTCAAATAATAGTTCCGGGCCATTTGGAAGTAATATATTTAATGGAAATAATGGCGCTTTTTCTTTGTCATTCAATAATAAGAGGTATATTCTCATGAGTTTTTTATTAGCGCAATACAATAGTGGTTCGCTCCATAATATTGGAACTATAATTCTGCACCATCGACAGTTTACAAGAAGACATGAAAATAAGAATCTACAATAGTTTCTTAGATTATTAAATATCTCAAAAAGGCACTCGTTTGGTAAGAATATCATTTTAAATACGTATAGTTTAAAAAACAAAACTATGCAGATTGTAATACATAAAAAGTGATACAGTACGAAAATGTATTTATAAAGTTTCGCGTTACACAATACTGCAAAATAAAGATTAATACTGTATACGAACTCATAGGAAGACTTGCGTTTGATTGGCTGATGTAATTAAATTGTCTGGAGAACTAATTTATACAATTTAAAGTACTTTTTTAAGCTACAACTTTTCATCATTTTATTTACGAAAAATAAATTTTTTTTTCATAATTAGTTTTAGAATAACGTTGCCTTTCACTATGCAATATAAATCTCAAAATAATCTCAAAGCAAAGGATTTACTTTGAAGCGAAGATGACTTGTGTATTAATCAGTAAAATGGGAAAAGGTAACCGAGAATGTTATTGCTGAAGGCCAAACAAACAAAAATCTACTAAAGCAATTTATTAGCTTTCAGCCTTTTACTTTACTTCGAATAAACAATATATTAGTCTATTGGGTTATGCAAAATTATACTGCGAAGTGAAAGTAACTACTTTATTACGTTAGATTTAAACAAATTTTTATTGCTAACTGTTTTTAATTTGAAACGATGCAAACCTTTAGCAGTAGATGGGCTTAATGTAGAAATTGGTCGATTCTTGTATTGTGTTTGGATTTATCAACCGTAAATTAAAATTTTAGTTTATATCTTGTAGATTCCTTAATGAGTTTAATTCACCTACTTTACGTGTATTTATTCATTTCTAAACATATGTGGTAAATTCTTTACTTGTATATATTGATTTGTAAACTTTTTTATATGAGTTTTTTTTTTTTTAATAATATTAAAACGATAAATCCTTTTAAAAAACTTGTGATGTCTTCTTATGATTGCTTAAAATTTCCTTATTTAGGGATGTCTGATTTTTAACTAAAATCGATTGATATTTAGATTAGGATTAGATTAAAGTAATTTGTATATACGTAGTAAAATCGCATTTAAATATTTTTACTTGACTAGTTTGTAATAATTTTCGATTTTGGACCGCTATATGTAATAATTTTTATTTTGGGCCCTCATCCGTAATATTTTCATTTTTGGGCCTTTATGTGTAAATTCCCCAATTTTTTTTGGATCAAAATTCATCAAAAACGTAATTTTTTGTATTACTAATCATAGAAATTAAGGGACCTCCGCTACGCTCCGGACAATCATTATCATAATCATAATGATCTAGAATAATCTTCTGATTACGCATTTTTTTTTATTGCTTTATTTTAAACTTATGCATCAATAGACAAAAGCCTCATATAATACTGTAGAAATCCTAAGATAAAGTGATGATAATAAATCAGCCAATCAGATGCAAAAAAAATACGCCACTTTAACTTGCTTGTAACCATATTCTACCAACTTCGTACTTCGTTCCTGGTATGAAACAAAATATTTAAACAAACAAAAAAGGAAAGTTAAAATAGACAACTCATACGCATATGAAAATGGCTCAATAAAAAAGGAAGGTTAAAATAGAAAATTTCATACGATATAATTGGATACTATGACTTCCATTCCTTCTTAAACTTATTATGCCTAGAATCTGTGACATTTTCTTGTATTTCAGTTACATTCCTCAGTTGCATTCCACACTGATTAATTGTTAAATAAGATAACGTTCTCTTAGATGAATTGTTTGTTTGATATATAGCAAAGCGAACTAAATTCTAATATTTAGATAATAAAAAAAAAAAATTCCTGGTTTTAATTTTTCAAATCAACTACTAATTCAATATAGATCATATCATTTGAAACTCCGTATATAACTTATCTTGGTATTATACTAACTTTGTGTTCGTTTATAGTATCAAGAATTCGATTTATGCAATATGTAGATCAATACATTGAATTACTCCGGTTTACCGACTTCGGTAGAATAAATTGGCTACAATACGATAGTAAATGGTAAATTATCGTACCACATACACTTTGCGAACTTTGCGAAAAACAGATTTAATGCTTCTTATTTCACCTTTCTCTAAATTTTAACTTCTTCAAACAGCTACAAACCTTCTAAAATATCAAAACTTCTCAAATCACTATAAACCTTTCTAAAATGTCACAACTTATGACTCAGCACGAAATTCAGCAATTGATTCAACAATATAATGGGAAAAAGAGAACCCCAAGTGGCTTTTTAATTTATAAAAATAAACATAAATTTCATCCTTATGCTGCTAAAAAGGCGTATTATAAAGAACCTATGCATGTCAGATTAGCCTATGACAAATATGCAGAGATTATTCGGGTTTACTCTCGTAGTACCATTAATACCAATGGTACCTATGAAAAGATGATTTTATTAAATTCTATATCAGACTTTGCCTAGTAATGACGTTAATGTGTCGAGCCGGACGTTAAAGAAGAACATCCTATGTACATACGTATGTACGCAGTAGATTTTAAAATAATTTTATTTTATTTTTACTTTTATATTTGTTTTTATTTTTTGTTTACCGAAACGATTAACAACTTGCGTCCTGTAATCATAATAAAACGTGTTCTAAATTTATAGTTGTACTTGATCATTCATAAAGGAAGTAAAGAGATATAAAATATATTTATACGTCTAAATTAGAGCTAATTTATTTTGAATATTTTGATTGGTTTACAGTAAAATAACTTCATTGATAGCAATGATTATGAAAAGTTCAAATTTAGAGAAAGGTGAAATAAGAAGCATTTAAATATTTTTACTTGACTAGTTTGTAATAATTTTCGATTTTGGACCGCTATATGTAATAATTT